AGTGTGCTTGGTTGTCTGTCTCTAAGTGTGGCCCTGTGATAGACTGGTGACCTGTCCAGGGTGTCCCCTGTCTTCATCCTGAGTCAGCTGGGATAGACTCCAGCCCCCCATCTAGTGAGGATTGAGCGGTGTATAGATAATGGATGGATTGAATTGAACTGAATTTATTAAAACCAGGTTGTATTTTTTATTTTCAATTAAAATGTTTCCAATAGAAATATACAAAACTGATGGAATATGATATATTGTCAAATATCCAACAATTAGAAATTTTGTTCTGCTTGTATTTTAATTTAATTTAATGATTAAAATTAAATTCTATTCATATGTGAATCCAATAGTAATAATGTAATTCTGTCATTTATAATAGTAAATAGAAAATTTTCTTCCAGAGTGTGTTTGTCAGTGTTTAGCACTTTTAGTTGTGATATTAAATTAGTTTTCTTGCTTATGTGCTCTTGTTTTAGGTAAAGTGTGATTTCTAATTGTTTTTACAGTGCAGTAGTAGTCGTACTTCAGTAAAGTCTGTGAATACTCGCTACTCAGTGCTAAACAGTGGTGCTGCTCTCTGGCGCCCAGCAGGGGGCGATAGAGACAGTACATATTGTTCTACTGCGCATGCGTCGAGCTGAAGGAAAAACAAACTTCCTGGCCGACACAGGTGATTAGAAAACGTTTGGAAACTGAAACTGTCGAAGGCTGTGGCGACTCCAGCGGGATGGCCTGAAACAGCAGGCGACGGTCACGTTTAGAGGTGAGCAGGTGTTTATTTCCTTTTCAATCTTATTTCATGACATTTATTTAATTTCAGTATCAGACGAACGGTTTTAAAGTCACCGGCTGGTTAGCAGCGCTGTTAGCATAACATTAGCATCTCCATTCATTGACGTGCTGTTGGTAAGTAGCACGAAGCTAACGCTTTATCTAAGCTGACCACGTAGCCAGTTTTTAAGTGTTAACCGAGCTTGTCAACCGCATGACACCAGTTTTATGGAGCTTTGGAAGACAGAGAACCAGTCATAGGATGGTTTTATCAGCTAACTGAGCTCGCTAACTAACCAGAGTGACAGTTAGTAGCTGTTTTTTCTAACGTTAGCTTGCTAAATGAACAGCTAATGTGAAGCTTTCTACCCAGCTGAGAGCTTAAATCAGTCAGTTTATCAGCAGAAAAGGGGTCTGATAATCGGTTCTTCATGAAAACTGACAATTTCTACAAAATTTTAGTTTCTGAAATGGCAGTATTTGCTTTCTAAGTGTGAACACTCATGGCTTTTGGAGTTTTTTCTCTGGTAAAACGAGATATTTAGAGACATCATAGTGGATTCTGTACATTTGTGATTGACATTTCCCTATCTTTATAATATTTAATAAACCAAACGACGAACCAAATTAACAAAACGAGTAGCTAGTTAGCTGTAGCTTTAGCTTAATAGCAATACCTCTCTCTGCTTCAGCCATGTTGACAGCTTTGGTAACTGTCATAAAGGGAGAAAAGAAGAATATAATGTTGATGTCATGTACAGTTAGTTATTTTACTTTAATGTGCATTAAAGTTACTCCTGCTATTACAAGGGAAGATCCCAAGGTTTCTAATATCCTGACTGAATTCATTTAATCATAATGTGATTCATGAGTAGTTTTCTCACACTGTATAACATTAGATTAGATTCATATTTATCGTCATTACACAGAGTACAAGTACAAAGACAGCTAAACATCCAGTCAAGTCAGCTTATTTCTATAGATAGAACATATGTTTGTACATAAAAGCATGTCTAAAAATAGAGAAACATGAATTAAAATGAAATAAATACGTAATAATGACAATATAGGTACATTTGTAAGAGCGTAGAATAACTGGCTTTAAATACAAAATAGGACTAGACACACATGTTGTAATGCAATTTGATCTGCAATATCGGTTTTTGAAGGTTTCTATTCACTATATAAATGATTTAACCCGTGATGAAGCATGAGTTACCAGAGGATGACACAAATCTGTTGAACAACTGACACAGCAGTTTAAACCCTGGATCAGATACGCTGCACAATGTAGAACCTTAATTGCAGCCTTTGTGGTTTGCTAATTGCATTGTTTCAAATCGCAATTGTTCACTTGTTCAGCTCTATTTAAAACTCATCAATTATTTAATAAATCGTTGCAGCTCTAGTGTTCAGCCAAGTGTCGATCTGCTGGCTGTTAATGCTGTATCATATGTTACACAGCATTTTTGTGCTCACTGAACTCTGAAGTGACTCGTTGGGTGTTTTGGTCCATTGATCTGTTCCGGTTGTTCCTGTAATTCTAGTTTGTATTGTTTTTTAATGAGAGTGTGATGGTGGATAATCCCAAAGATACCCTGAATGTAAATTCACTGATCAGGACAATTGTAGGTTGAGCACAGTGCGGTATTTAATGTCATTAAATGTTTATTTGTATTGGGACAAGGATATAGCGTGAATCAATACCTCTTATATCACAGCATTTAGAAAATAAAGTGTGGCTTTAAATAATAAGACTGCTGTTCTTTAAGTTAAACCACAGTGGGCTTGCATGAACCAAATCTAATTTAACTAAATAAAATGTAATTTCAGTGTTTGCTTTCTTGTTTAATAGCCACACCTTGTGGATATTTTTAAACTGGCCTTGATAATGCGTGCCAGACAACAACGAAGTGCAGAAGAGACAGTGTAAAGCACAAACTCAATAAGAAAACACATACAGGGTGCAAACAAAGATGCAATAAAGAACCATAAAACAATAATCATTCAAGACATCATGGCTGATCACAGTGAGTTTAAAATGATCCCAGTCAGGGTCTGTTTTCAGTTCTGTGGGTAAACAGTTCCTCATGTTCATCTCCTGATAAGAACATAATCATAAAACCCATTCTGATTGTTAGATTTTTTTTGTCATTTGTTTGTCCAGATAAGGATTTATTAAAATGTCCATGCCCATTAAAGTAGAAAAATTCAGGAACCAAAACAAACTTACAAAATGAAAAATGCAATGAGAAGGACCTTAAATATATACTGCATTATAAAAATGTACTTTTTGTTTGTGGTATGATTCGTTAGAGTAACCTAGAGCAGGAGAAGACATGGCCTGTGCTCGAGTGCCCCTGGATGAGCAGCAGGTGACGGAGCCTGGTCCGCTGGGGAAGGAGCGAACACTGCCTGCACTGGTGAGTCTCTTCATGATGCTGTTACAGTTTACGGTGCTCCAGAATCACCTGTTTACCTTTCACATTGACCAGTTTATGAGAATCAAACCTGGTGCTTTCTGCTCCCCGTCAGCACCCAGAGAGGGCGGAGGATCGATGTTTTGTGCCTTATAAACCCCCTCCAGAAGAGGGCTCTCCTGCTGAGGTGGAGCAGTTTTTAGAACGTGCCAAATTCATCACAGAGGACCTGGAGTGGCTGCTCGCACTGCCTCACGACAAGTTCTGGTGTCAGGTACGAGACTGTCAACATGCAGCATCCTGCAGAGCCGCATTTTCTTCATATTCAGTTCTACAGTTCAAGTTACTGGAGCTGGTGAAATGGAAAATCAGCCCGCCAGTGGGTTTGAAAGATGTGCTATTTTTGAAACATTGCAAAATTGCATCCTTTATCAGAGCCAGAAACTGTAAAAACTGTTATTTTATCTTTCTCATGTGCTGTTTTGTCAGAAAAATCAACCAGGGCGCCACTATAGCTCAACTAATTGAGCTGGCGACCCATGTACTGGGGCTGTAGTACCCGATGCAGCGGTCGTGGGTTCGAATCCAGCCCATGGCCATTTGCTGCAGGTCCTTCCTCCATTCTTCTCCCCACTTTTCTGTCTCTCTCTCTCTACTGTCCTGTCAAATAAAGGCAAAAAGGCCCCCAAAAAAATCAACCAAATTTATGCTTAAATCTGTGATTAGAATTTAAAAAATCAAAAAGATTGAGTAAAACAAAACAAAAAAAACAACTTACACAAGCAGATGAGAGACAAGAATGCAAACAAATAAAACATGTACACATCTGTAATATGTAGAGCCACCATTTTTCCAGTGTTGGTAACACCTGCAGGCATCTGGAAAATGTTGGACATGTTGGTTCAGTTTTTTAAAATGCATGTAAAATAACAAAAAACAGCACTTTTGTTTTTTATGATTTGTGCCATTATTCCTGTGTCTTCCTGCACAGAAAAGCTTGAGTTCGCCCTACTTCTGCAGTGCAGGACTTTATAGTGCAGTAGAAAATGAGCTGCATATGCAGCTATTTAGGTCACAGTCTGGAGCCCTGCCCACTGATTTCCTAAAAATATGGTGTCAAAGTTGTACGTTCTGCGGTGCGTCTTTTCCACCAGGTGGTGTTTGATGAGTCGCTGCAGAGATGCCTGGATTCGTACCTTCATCACGCCCCTCGAGGCCTCGACCTCGCTGCCCTGCCGTCCTCGCCGGCGGTGGCCGACACGCAGCGCTCCATCCACAGGGTGGTTTTCTTGACCTTTCTCCGGATGGCGACGCATAAAGAATCCAAGGTAGGAGCCAGATGTGAGCTCTGCAGAGAGAATAAGGAGCTCTTTTAGTTGTATTTGTAAAAATATACAGTCGTTTATCACTGCCAAATGCAAAACTTCAACTCCCGTCAGGAGAACTTCATCACCCCGACCGTGTTTGGAGAAATTATCTACGAGAACTTCCTCTTTGACATTCCCAAAATTTTGGATCTGTGTGTGCTGTTTGGAAAAGGCAACAGCCAGCTGCTGCATAAGATGATCGGTGAGCTGCTGATGAAGACTCTCTTTAAATCTCATCACTGATTTCTGCCAGCTGTTAGTCTCTGACTGTCGTTCTGATGTGTTTCAGAGAACATCTTCACCCAGCAGCCGTCCTACTACAGCGACCTGGATGAGACGGTGCCCACCGTGTTACAGGTGAGATCCCCTCTTAGAGACAGCCGTAGATTTTTATGGACGATGTGTATTTGTAATTTTTTGACTGTTTTAAAATTGTTTGTCAGGTTTCACAACAGTGGTGTCAGACATACATTTTTGTTTCCAGTAAACCATCATGGTCAGATCATTTTATCACTGATTGGTTTTTTCTTATTCTCCATCAACTTCAGGTGTTTGACACAATCCTGGAGAAGTGTGGTCTGCATTGTGAAGGAGCTACTGCCATGGAGCCAATGAAGCTGAACGCACACAAACAACCCACTGCCATGACCATGAGCCAGCAGGTCGGATCATTACTGCTGATATACAACTACATCTGAACCTGGCCCTCAGCATAAACATCATAAATAAGTCATGAAAACACAGTTCAACTCCAGTTTCAACGAAAATCTATACCTTTTTATCAGATAAACATCTCAAACCATGACTTTTTTATAGCATAAAATATAGGTATTTCTAAAGATATAGGTACAGTTTTAGATGTGTGGAGTTCTGGTTGACCCACTTCCAGCAGGTTTTTTTCTATTAACTATTTAAGATAAAAGCCTGAAATTTTTTACTGTAATTTCTCATCATGACATTGATTGATAACTTGCAATATTTGACAAATAGATTGAATAACCTTGAATATGGATGAACTGAAATACGAAGTCGTCATGAAAAGTCCCGTATTTGAACACACGCAAAAATCCACTAGTGATCATTTCTGAACCACGTGTAGCTGCATGTCACAATAATATAAAAACAAAACATACAGAACACTTTATATTCTGAAATACTTGGTCACAAACATGAAAAAGTTTTTACTGAACTCATAGCTGATTGAGCAGGTATGACACATTGTACCCCAAAATGAAAAGCTCAGGAGCTTAATCCTCGTAAAACAGAGTTCTAGAGCTTCAAATAAAACCAAGACAAATGCTTTTTTCAGAATTCAAATCGATGACAGGATGAGAAATAATAGTGGAAATTTCAGGCTTTTTTCTTTAATAGTTTGAGTTATTGTTGATTAAACAGCCTCAAATTTCAATGTGTGAAAAAAAGAAGAAAAAAAAGATTCTGAAAATTACTTCTTATATCAAACTAAAATTTCAATATCCATAGTTTATAAAAAACAAACAAAAAAATTTTTTTTCAAGCAAATCAAAGCTGATCACCTGTATGTTTACTAATACCAGTAAACATACTTGATGCTAATGTAGTTTGTGCTTTAATAGCAGCAACAACATCATTTCTATCTTCACATAAAAGTTAAAATGACTAAAATCTTCCCAAAACCGGGTTAAAATAAAACAAGGTGAATGTTGATTCAGTTCTGAGGTCTCGTGAGCTAGATGTGGATGAACGACTCGCTGCTCCGTCCTGGTTTTTGACGGAGACGCTGCGATCGAGGCCTTGATGCTTTAAAAACCTGCCAAATAAATCAGGCTGAGCCGAGAAACCGAATCGGCCCACATTGTTCATGCATCATTTATGGTGAAGGCTTTGCTCGTCAGCTTCGACCTCCAAAAAGTGCAGCCACGATACACAAAGAATTTCAAATGTTGACAAGAAAATATATAAATGCTTCAAATCTTCCTCTTTTTAGAAAAAATCTCAAGACTTGCATGTTTTTAATGGCTTTTGGTGGCTCTTGATGGTCTTTTTGGCATTTTACATTTATTTTATCTTAGAATTTAGTTTTAGTTTTGCCTTGTTTTAGCATTTTGTGCCATTTTACTTTTCTTTTACAAATTTTTTATCCTGTGTTGCGTTTACACCACTTTGGTCAACTCAGGCTGCTTTAAACATTCTACAAATTGTAAATAAACCTGATTTAATCAGGACTGTGAGGATGAATCTTCCCTCGCAGCATCAGGAAAATAAATCTCAAGCAGCTGCTGTTTATCTGAATGGAACATTTTAACCTGATAGTGACTCACGGTTTCCTCTGTGCTGCTGTTTAACTCCCACTACAGCTTCCACACAGAGCCCAACTTCATGTGTTGTCATTGATAAAATGTGTGTGTGTACTCTCTGTCTCAGGAACTGACAGATATTGTTTCGTACCTGTGCGACTCGACCACCACCATCCATGCCTTCTTGGACATCTTCCCTGCCGCCTGCTCCAGCTTCTACTCCCACGGCTTCATCAGCAGGTGAACACAGCGTCACCTTTCAGCGCCTACAGTCGGCTTTATCTGCACAAAGCCTTTTCTCATGTTGATTGTTTTCTGTGCTGCAGACTGACCTCGTTTTACGAGACCGCTGTGCCTGACTTGGAGAAGGCGGTTAGGAAGAGAAACTTTGACGATAAAGGGTGAGTTTCTGTTTCAGGGGTTAAATACAGAAACAGCAGAAACGTACAGTGACTGCAAAAATGACTCACTCCCTGTGGAAGTTTTTCACATGTTTGTGTTTCAACAATGAATTGTCGTCAATAATATTTTGCTTTTTAGACAAGAATTTACAAAAGCAGTCTCCTTCATGTCAAAATGTAGACAGATTACTACAGACTCACGGCTCATTGTCCTGCTGGAAACAAACCTTCTAACAAAGTCCTAGTTCTCCATCCTCCAGGACTTTTCTATGCTTTGCTGCATTCATTTTATCCTCATCCTTAACAAGCCTTCTAGGGCCTGCTGCCTAAAAGCAACCCCACATCATG